TTCGCCACGAACGGTTCGCCATGGACTCATCATTGAGTAAACTTTGACCCTGTACCTCACAGTCAGCAGACACATTCCAGCCAATCAGCAGCAGAGCCTCCCTCCCATACCCTCCCACCTCCTGGACAGCATCCATTTTACATTAATTGTGAAGCTGCATTCTTAGTGAGCTGTCCAGGAGGTGGGAGGGTCTGGGAGGGAGGGTCTGCTGCTGATTGGCTGCAATGTGTCTGCTGATTGTGAGGTACAGGGTCAAAGTTTACTCAATGATGAGTCCATGGCGAACCGTTCGTGGCGAACCGTTCGCGAACCGTTCGGCAAACCGTTCGCAGAACCTTTCGGGACATCACTAATACTAAGTAATTTTTACTTAGTATTAGTAAATGTGGCTGAAAGACCAATTTAGGTCTTTCAGCCTTTTGGTAGATAACTCCCTAATACCGTGGGAATTAGGGAGTTATCTACCAAGCGGCTGCAAGACAAGCTCCGAAATTCCAAAGTTCCGAAGTTCTGAAGTTGCCGAAGTGCCGAATTTGCCGAAGTTGCCGAAGTTCCGAAGTGTCGAAGTGCTGAAGTTACTGAAATTCCGAAGTGGCGAAGTTCCAAAGTGCCAAAGTTCCGAAGTATCGAAGTGCCGATGTTGCCGAAGTTCCGAAGTGTCAAAGTGCCGAATTGCCAAAGTCCCAAATTTCGGAATGCCAAACCGAACTGAAAATTTTTCCCATGCACATGCCTACTCACTAACATTATACTTGGTGACCTCTCCTCTCCCCAACCCAATATTCATCTTGTTTTCCATCCTGTATGTATAAATGAGAAGGGATCTATTCTAACTTTTCTCATTTGAATCACTATATTATTATTATTATTATTATTATTATTATTATTGCCATTTATATAGCGCCAACAGATTCCGTAGCGCTTTACAATATTTTGAGAGGGGGGAGGGTGTAACAATAAATAGGATAGAATGTATTGGTGGAAAATATTTAATTTAATTGACACTATACAGGTAGCTACATGACCACAACTACCAGTCAGCAGATTGTATGACCTTAGATCTAAAATGCATTTTCCAACACCACTCAAGATTTCAGATTCTCTGGAATAAAATTTGCCCTCTCTCTAACATTTCTTCAAGGTTAAATTTAGACAATGCAGGCACATGATCTATCTCTATACTACAATATTTATTAATTTGCTCTGTAATTTGCTCTGACATCCCTGTCTTGTTCTGGTTATCCTTTGTGTGCTCACTGTATGTGTTGTAATAGTTTATATCATTATTCTGATTTCTGGAATCCTGACTAGCTCAAATCTCTTTATGCTATTTGTCACCATTTGTCATGTATAATGATGCCTATTTCAGGAAGTGTCTGTAATTTTTTTCAAGTGCAGGCACTCCTCTGGATAACATGCCTTGGCATATGACCTAGTCTGTGCTAGACAACTTATAATCAGTAAATGACATCAATATGTAGTAAGCATGCAATCATTGAGACTCGAGAAAAAGCAATTTATTCTACAGAAAATGGTTCTTCACAGTAACAACAATAGAGAAGTGGAATTCTCTACCCAAAGTAGTTGTTTTATCAGATTATATAGTTATATGAAAAAAGGGGCATATATTTGTTTTTATTACTGGGACCAGAACTGTTTTTGTTTTGTTTTGTTTTTTTGGGGGGTGGGGGGGTTGCTTTTTTTTGGATCAACAACATGGATGTGTGAAATTTTGATCTTGATGAACTTGTCTTTTTTCAATCTAAATGAATATGTAATATTGTAACTATGTAATTGTCTAATATGCAGTGATGTCCTGGCATGAGGGCATGGTTGCTTTCAAGTACCCAGGTCTGATATTTTAAAAAGTTGGCATATATAGCACCTCTGCACCACACACAACATGACAATAGATGCACAATTAATACATATCTGTATCCAGCCAGCTTTAAAATTCTAAAGTCTTAGGATTCCAATCCACAGAGCTGCTGATAACTAGGTATAATAAACATGATTAAGGAGACTTTCATGTTTTTTATTGCCATTAGTTTTTTACCTGTGGCTCTTTTAAGATTTCGTTCCCTTGATGTTGACCTGGTAATCTATGTAATTCACTTGTTCGCTTTCACATGCAGTTACCTAATCCTGATAATTTGTTTTGCCTTAATTAATCATCATGGCAAAGGCATGCAGACATTCTTTTATCATTGTAATTTTTACAGCAGCACCTTAATTGTGTATAATTACACATTAATATTAATGTGATTAACCAATAAAACAATGAGGATAAAATGAATCCTAAAATTACAATGTGCCTAGTTGGAACGGTACAGACCATGTCATTTCTGTGTTTACTAAAAACCTTAAGAGACAGTTGGGCTTCATAAAAATTTTGAAACTTCTTAAAAGTGTTAGCAGTATACCTGGAATCTGGAAAATCAGATAAACAGAAGACAGCTATAGACAGGATACCAGAAATCATACCAGAATACCAGAACCATATAAACTAGCCAAGGGATGGTTGGGTAGGAGAGAATAATCAGAAGGAGCCAGGTTCTGGAGTACAGAAGTCAAAGGAACAAGTGAAATCAAAATAACACTTTCAATAACACTATACTGAACTAATAGTCCATAAAAAAGCACAAAGCAGAAGTGTTACTGTAAATATATGCTTTCCCCTTGAGGTGTTGCCAATGACTGTTTCAGATGTCCTGCGAGAATCAGTATATGCAATTTGAAACCCAAGTATGATTCACATAATCATTCGGTATCTATTACAAATAAAGATGTGTAGGTACGGGGCCTGGCATTACACACGGGTTACCTGACCAAAAAATGTGCTAACACAAAATGTAGCAGAAAGACTGGATAGAGACCAAACAGTATCCTATCCTGCTTTTGACGAAAACTGGCAAACAAGGACAGAAGCATGGACAAAATTACACCAGGGAACAGTCCCCAGAAAGTTCAATGCAGGTGCATTATTAGGTGTGCCCAGAGCTATGCTAAGTGGTGTCAGGGCACTAGAACTACGCAGGGAGTTCTTCAGAAGTGCTCTGGGCATGGTCTACCTTGAGTGGGTCTGGCCAAGGAGGCCAGCTACCTTTCCAGGTAGCATGGCCCATTTTGGGCACCACCAGGGATGCAAGTGATTCACTCGCAGACATGTAAAGACCCAACCAACCAACTTTCCTAATTTCATATCTTCCAATATTGAAAGTATGCAAGTCAAGTAGGCTGTAACCCATTTTCAACCCTAGCTCAGATATTAAAATTCAGATTTTTAACTAATAAATGGAACAAGCACCATACCAGTCCACTAAAAACTCAATGAAGAGTTAATAAAATTAGAAATAAATGAGTCTGGTATTTTAGCCTGAAATGCATAACATATTTTTCTTTTATCTCTGATACTACTGACCCCTCTATTGTATCAATTTCTTTATAATTGTAGAATGGAGATTTTTGAATTTTTCAATACTATAATGCTCTGGTTGATTTTTGCAACATGAAATCTGGAATATCTAAAGTGTCTACATTAAATATTATTATTTATTAGATTGAATTTACATTCACCACTCTCACAGCCAGTGGCGTACATACCGGGTCGCAGTGGTCGCGGCTGCGACCGGGCCCGGCCCACCAGGGGGCCCGGCTGTCCTGCGACCCGGTATGTACCCACTGTGGCCAGCCTCTTCTCCTGGGGGGCCCAGGAGCCGGCCACCTCAGGGTCCCCCGAGGCTGGCCCTGGTGTCACCGGGCGGACAGGCTGGGGGGTGCGCGAGGGAGCACTCTCCCCTGTGTGCTCCCTCTTCAGCTCCCTCGCGCACCGCACTGATACCGGAGCCGGAAGATTACATCATCTTCAGTGACACCACTGGATCCCAGGGAATCCCCTCAGCACTCCCAAAGGTAGGGAGGCTGGGGGATGACATTTTAAAAAAAACGTGTGTGTGTGTTAGAGTGTGTTAGTGTTAGAGTGTGTTAGTGTTAGAGTGTGTGTGTTAGTGTGTGTGTGTGTGTGTTAGAGTGTGTGTGTGTTAGTGTTAGAGTGTATGTTAGTGTTATAGTGTTACTGTGTGTGTCTGTTAGTGAGTCTGTTTGGTGTCTGTTAGTGAGTGTATGTTTTGTAAGTGAGTGTGTATGTGTCTCTGATTCATTCTGTACACCAAACTATCATATAAATATCTATTATTCTTTCCTGTGATCATTTTATAAATTTGTCTAAAATAACTTTGTCTACTTATAAATAACATAACAAAGCATTTTACTTTGCTGACAACACAAGTACTGAACTTTATGTTGGAATTACAGATGTAACAATTTGTGGTTTTGGTAAACTGCCATCATTAAGTCTGGTGTATAACAGAAGAGAATATAAAGTAAAGTGGCTTGTCAAAAAAATAAATCTAAAAAGACCTTTTATATAAAGTTATATTCCATATTGCTAACATTACACTCTGTAAGGCTCCTTGAATGGACCAAAGAGATTTTGAAAGTAGACATTTGTAGCTTCTGGGAATTGCCTAATTTCCTTGTTGTATGTGACGGAAAATTTGCAGATCTAGTTTCCAATCGCTTCAATCTATTACTAAATTGTGATTTCAGTCTGCAATAGTGTTTGAGAGACCTGGGAGATATTCCTCTTTTAAAACCATGTCTTGGTCTAAATAAACATACCAGAACCCTTTTGTAATATCGCCATCATCTTTGTGCCTCCCAAAAGATTCAAATACTTTACTGAGCTGACCTTGTCCATCTTTAGAAATACACAACAATTTGATCTGTCTTTCAGAAAACATTTTAATGTATAAACACCAACAAGCAATTCTAAACAATTTATAGGCATAAGCAATTTGTCTGCTAACCATTTGCCTCCTGTGGATAGCTGTCAATAGTGATGTCCCGAACGTTTCGCGAACGATTCACCACGGTTCGCCACAAACAGTTTGTTGCGGACTCATCATTGAGTAAACTTTGACACTGTACCTCACAGTCAGCAGACACATTCCAGCCAATCAGCAGCAGACCCTCCCTCCCAGACCCTCCCACCTCCTGGACAGCTCAGTAAGAATGCAGCTTCACAATGGATGCTGTCCAGGAGGTGGGAGGATCTGGGAGGGAGGGTCTGCTGCTGATTGGCTGGAATGTGTCTGCTGACTGTGAGGTACAGGGTCAAAGTTTACTCAATGATGAGTCCGTGGTGAACCGTTCGTGGCGAACCGTTCGTGAACCGTTCAGCGAACAGTTCAGGACATCACTAGCTGTCAACATTGCGCTTCACCACCCAAATTACTAGCTTCAGATCTTATGATAATAACAGGTAAGGATCCGAAAGTAGCTTTCCCATTCCATATCTGGTTATGGAACCTTGTCTCTTGTATCTGGAGTGAGAAAATTCCATCTGCATAACTAAGGCCATCTCTTAACTATTGTGCTTTAAGGCTCTGAAGGGGATTTCCTGGATGTAAGACTCAGGACAGCTTCTTGAGTGTTAAAATAAAACATTGAAATTTTACTTCTTGAGGCAAATTATAGTTTTTCTTGTTTATGATATAATCCAAATTGGTGAGTATCATAATAGTCTTATCCATGTGTTTGTGAATAAAATGGAGAGCTTCTCTAAAATGTCATCCAGTTAAATTATTAGTCTGGTCACATAGGAATAAAGGAAGGGTTACTGCACTAACCAAAAATCAAAATTCAAGAGCCTGCGCAAAGCAGGGTCCAAGTACAGAAAATAAAGAAACCAAGTCAGTGAAACTAGATGCCAAATGTGCCACATTAGTCTGACACCTCAGCTTTGCAGTCTGCATAATTTTGGTGAAACACAATGGTGAGGAAGAAAGTCCAAATAGTATGCATGCAAATTGCCATTTGTGACCCATCCAGAGAAGCTGTTCTTGCTGATAGGAACCATGAATAGGCTAGGCATCATTTAGATTCATGGAACCTGAATGCTAACTCCTCAATAGAGGAGATCTTTTTTTCTAATGTAAGATTTCTAATGTAACTAAATTGTTGGCTTCCATATTATTATTATTATTATTATTATTGCCATTTATATAGCGCCAACAGATTCTGTAACGCTTTACAATATTATGAGAGGGGGGATTTAACTATAAATAGGACAATTACACGAAAACTTACAGGAACGATAGGTTGAAGAGGACCCTGTTCAAACGAGCTTACAGTCTATAGGAGGTGGTGTATAAGACACGTTAGGACAGGAAATATCAATCAAATAGGGTGGGAGTAAAATGGAGCTGGAGGATAGGGTAGAGTGCTGCCCTATAGCAGAGAGCAAGAGACAGGTATGTAAGGTAGAGGTTACTCTGGGAAGCCATAAGCTTTCCTGAAGAGATGGGTTTTACGGCTCTTCTTAAATGATTGAAGACTAGGGAAGAGTCTGATGGCAGTAGGCAGGCTATTCCATAGGAAAGGAGCCACCCGCGAGAGGTCTTGCAAGCGCGAGTTGGCTGTACAGGTGCGAGCAGTGGTCAGGAGGTGGTCACGGGCAGAGCGGAGGGAACGAGGAGGGGCATACCTATGGATCATTGAGGAGATATAAGAGGGGCTAGAATTGTTCAGTGCTTTAAATGTATGGGTTAGCACTTTGAATTGACTCCTATAGGATACAGGGAGCCAATGTAAGGACTGGCAGAGGGGTGATGTGTGAGAGGACCGACTAGAGAGGAAAATCAGTCTAGCTGCAGCATTCATTACAGGCAATATGGCTTTTGTGGAGACCAATCAGGAGAGGGTTACAGTAATCCATGCGGGAAATTACTAGAGCATGGACAAGCTCTTTGGTCGCATCTTGCGTAAGAAAGGGGCAGATGCGGGCTATGTTTTGAGTTGGAACCTACAGGATTTGGCAACAAACTGGATGTGAGACTCAAAGGTGAGGCCAGAGTCAAGTATGACGCCAAGACAGCGTGCTTGCAAGGATGGACTTATGTGCATATCACTGACTTGAAGGGAGAGTGAGAGAGGAAGATCAGTATAAGGTGGAGGAAAGACAAGGAGTTCAGTTTTAGAGAGATTGAGTTTCAGAAAGCGTGAGGACATCCAGTCAGAGATGGAAGAAAGGCAAGCAGTGACACGTTGCAGGACAGCAGGGGAGAGGTATATCTGAGTGTCATCAGCGTACAGGTGGTAGTTGAATCCAAAAGAGGCAATAAGCTTGCCAAGAGAGGCAGTATAAAGAGAAAATAGAAGGGGACTAAGGACAGAGCCTTGGGGAACTCCAACCGAGACAGGACGAGGGGAGGAGGTATACTTGGAAAAGGAGACACTGAATGAGCATTGGGAGAGATAGGAGGAAAACCAAGAGAGGACAGAGTCACAGAGACTGAGCGATTGAAGGAGGAGAGCATGATCAACTGTGTCAAAGGCAGCAGAGAGGTCAAGGAGAATTAATATGGAGTAGTAACCTTTGGATTTAGCTGTGATTAGGTCATTAGTGACTTTGATGAGAGCAGTCTCAGTAGAGTGGAGAGGGCGCAAGCCAGACTGAAGAGGGTCAAGGAGAGAGTTGGAATTGAGGAAGCGAGACACATGGGTAAAGACAAGTCTTTCCAAAAGCTTTGATGAGAAAGGGAGCAGGGATATTGGACGATAGTTAGAGGGGAAGCATGGGTCAAGAGATGTTTTTTTCAGGATAGGTATTACAGTAGCATGTTTAAGGTCAGCAGGAACAGTGCCAGAAGAGAGAGAGCAGTGAAAGATGTGAGTTAGGGTAGGCACAAGACAAGGGGAGAGAGATCTGATGAGGTGGGATGGGACAGGATCGAGCGGGCAAGTGGTGGGGCGAGAGGAATGGAGAAGCGCAACCACCTCTTGTTCAGTAGCCGGGGAGAAAGTCTGAAAGGTAGGGAAGGCATGATTTATGTGTGGTTGAGAAAGAGAGCGGCAAGGAGGGGAGAATTGTTTCCTTAGCTGTTCAATCTTGTTGGTAAAGTACCATGCAAAGCTATCAGCTGTAAGGTTAGTTTAAGGGGTGGCAACAGCAGGGCACAGAAGTGAGTTAAAGGTGTCAAAGAGACGTTTGGGATTGCGGGGGCATGAACTAATGAGAGAGGAAAAGTATGACTGTTTGGCAAGGGCAAGGGCTGCGCTGTATGAACGCAATATGAATCTATAATGGAAAAAGTCTGACTGGGTGCGAGACTTCCTCCAGGAGCGTTCAGCACAATGGGAGCAACTCTGCAGATAGCGTGTTGATTTAGTATGCCAAGGTTGGGGTCGTGTCCTCCTCGAGTTGCATGTTTGGAACGGGGCTGCAGCGTTCAAGGCAGAGGTGAGGGTAGTGTTATATGTGGAGATGGCCAGTGAGGGACAGGAGAGGGCTGGGATGGATAGCAGTTGTGAATCAATGTCTGCTGACAGCTGCTGGAGGTCAATAGAGTTAAGGTTCCTCCTGAGTTGAGGGGGGTTAGGCTGAGGTTGTTGGGTCAGGGGTAATTGAGAGCAAATGATAAGAGGTGGTGATCAGAGAGAGGAAATGGAGTGTTGCAGATATTAGATACTGTACATGAATAAGAGAAAATAAGGTGGAGGGTATTTCCAGCTATATGGGTGGGAGAGTTAGCCCACTGCAATAGTCCGAGGGAGGTGGAGAATCAGGGGAACTGGTAGAGAGGTTTGAATTAAAGGTAAATTTCTGTTGTGACCTATCAAACCTGCTATGGTATTTAGAACTCAGGCATCTGATGTAATTGTTAAAAAATGGGAAAACTGTACCCCAGTTTTTTGGAGAAAAGAGGGATAGTGGAAGTCTTACCTGGTGAAGATGGCAAACAAGAGTAAATATATTGTCCTTGATTTTTCCATAGTCTCCCTCTCTGGGAAAAGAATAAAGTAGACTGCTGAATGTCCACATAAGGTCTGCGGTTGTCTGGAGTGCTTTCTATTATGAGAGGAACAGCTGGGAAAGCACCCTTTGACTTTGCCAGCCCTCCTGAAAACCTTAGGGTTGAAAATGTTAAGGCATTTTTGGGCTTTGCCCAATGATGAGAAAATACCGACTTATTTTCTGATTTCCTTAATAAAGGAAACAGTAAGCTTTAAGTCATGGCTTTGGCACAGAATGAGGAATAAGTGTCAATTGGGGGTACATTTCCATCAACAGAGCTCTACATTATTTATTTGCTAAAGCCAAATTGGCATTGCTAAGAAAATATATGGTTCCTTGAGCAATGGCTCTCAAAATTCTGTGTTAGAGTACCAGGTTATATTGCCTCTTCTGTTAAATAAAAAATGCTGGCAAGAGGTCCAGCTATATTTATTATTATTTATTATTTTTGTTTTTTTATATAGCGCCAGCAAATTCCACAGCTTGTCTTGTAAACGTTTTCAAGGTCCTATGCAAACCTTTTCTAGAAATTTTCCTTTAATTACCAAGTTATAAAATGACAGTAGGGTCTAAGTCAGTGGTCAAATACATCTTCTTTGGTTTATTTGGCATTTAGTCTGTAATTTATTTTTGGCCATTTTATCCATAGATTTATTTGTAAATGTGAAAGACCGGGACCTACTCTGAAGATCAGCGGTGTCTGATCTGACCAAAATCAAACAGGTATTGACCTTTAGAGTCAAGGATAAATGAATCCATATTTTCTAAAACACTATGGACATGACAGGTTCATAAGAAAATGTAAATATCTCAATTGAGGATGTTTGAAAGGAATCAGATTTGCTACCTTTTGAGACTGTTTTTCATGATCGTGGGCAGAGGGTTTTTGTTTTGTCATTTATATACACACTGGTCAGTGCTGTGATGAGGGTGCAGTTCTTCAAAAGCATCTTTGTCTTTCCCCACAAACTGAGAGGGAACTGCTGAACACTAGCTGAAATGGAATTCCTGTGATACACAAGAAAGGATGTGAAAATGACATGAGGGAATGGGAGCCCTAGCACTATAGTAATGACCTGTGCAAGAAAAATGGCCATTCCTTGACCAAACCGGAGAGAGACAGCAGAGAAAATAGCACTCAGAAAAGATGCAAGTGACTGGAACAAACGAAAATAACTAAATTACACAACTGAAGCAAAAGAGGTGAAAGGAAAATTTAAAGTAACAGAGTTAACAAAAACAAAAGAGAAATAGGCTCAATTATTATATAGAAGGCTGCAAGATGAAAAACAGTATGAAA